GATCGGCTGCTGGAGCAGCCTCAGAAACGGGGGTTCCTCCCCTCGCGCGGGTGTTGGGGCCTCCCTCGGCAAAGCGCTTCTTTGTGCCTTTGGAACCGCCTGCGCGCGGGGGCTGATTCTCTCACAGCCCTTCAGAGAAAGTGTTTGTGACAACATAGCAGCGCACGTGCTCCTAAAAACACTTTGTTTAAAAAGACTCTTTATTAAGCAGAGTTTGACCCTTCTAAATTTAATTAGCCTGCAGGTTTTGCAATTGCTGATAGCAGAAAGGGGGAAATTAGAACGTTAAACTTGATGCATGTTTTGCCTTCTGTATGGCTTAGCATCTTTTAAATCCTTCTGGAGTATTTTTAAGAGTGTACCAATAATGTGAGGAGAAAACACTTTCATATTCCTGATTGAATAATATATTATTTAAAGAGAGAGCAGCAGATCTAGGATAGCAAGTGAATATGTCGTGATGAGGCTGATGTCTGGGTACCATTTTATTTATTTCTGTCACAGTACTAACCATCCTATGGGATGGCAAAACAAGTCTTCCAAGCAGTGGCATCCTAATTTTGAATTTATCTTAAGATGCTTAGTTTAAAAACAACTTGGCTCTGCAGTTGGGACATCTTAAACTGGACGAAGAGCATCTAAGTATTTATGAAAGCAGACATCTAGAGCTGTGTGTGTGTCCCTGAGAGAAGAGAGGCTGGTTATGTTTCAGAACTTTCTGAGTATTCATGTGACTGAGCTCTTCAGATACAGAGTTGGTGTGTTTATGGCTTTTATTTAGGCTGTCAGGGTTGCTGCTGCTTGTGCCTGGCTTCTCTGGCACTCCATTGGTCACTGGAGCCCCCACCCATGAAGATTATCAGTCATCTACTCTAATGGTAGCCATTTAGTTTTTTAACTGTAGGTGTTTGATGGAGGTTTGATTATTTTTTAGTTGCTGTTTGTTTTTGGGTTTTTTTCTGAAAGTTATGGAAATTATTATTATGTCCTGCAATTTAAAGACATAGCTTAAGTGGATGTAATGGTTTATGAAGGGAGAATCTCAAAATAGAATTTGAATTTTGCTGATGAAAGGGAATATTAAGGTTGCATGTAGAATATGTAAAAATTGTCCAGGTTGTTTTGTGTTCTGAGCTATAACATCCAAAGATTTTGGTTAGGGGATCAATAAAACTTCTGTATAGCTCAGACTGAGTGAGACACTCTTTTTCCCTCCTGTACAGCAGACCTATTATTTATGTCAAAGTATTCAGGTGAAACTCCTGTTAAACACAGCAAAGTGCTGTATGTGGCACACAACCCATATGCCTTTTGACTGTTGGTACTTTTTTTTAAATGTAAGAATTGCATTAACTTCTTGCAATTGTTGAATATTTTCTATTTGCAGTGTTGGTAGCCTTATATGAAGAGCCAGAGAAACCAAATAGTGCACTGGAGTATCCTTTTTGTCTTCTGTGAATTGCTGGTAGAGGCTTGACACGGAACAGCAGAGCCACTTGTGACTCGTTGTGAACATGAATAGGCTTGTTTAGAAGACACTGAGAACATGGCTTTTATGGATGCATTTTAGCTAAAACTACATTCTTACAATTCAGAAAGTCTGACAGGATGGAAGGGAAATGTGTGTATCAGTAAGGCAGCTATTATGGAATTAAACTATAGGCCACTACAGAATATCATAGACCTGCAGCATTAGATTCAAGTACTTACAACATCTGTGGGTTTTGAAGTGGGCTGCTTCACTCTTCCTTTTTTTTCCCCTCCCAAATAATAAAAGAGGAAAAAAAGTTAATGTATCTTGTTTCTTGCTCTTTTTAAGCAGCCTCCCCTTTTGGCTATTGCTTCTCTTTTGTTGTTGTTCCTTTTAACTGTTCAATACTTCTGTGTTTGAGAAGAAAAGAGGAAGGTGTATTAAAACATGAGAGTTTGTCCTGTGTGTTCTGATGTTGTTTTCCTTCTTTTTTTTTTTAAAGGAATATACCAATGAACAAGAAAAACTTTCTTAATTTTATAGCTTCATCCTGTAGGATGAAAAGCACTGCAGTAACCTAAAGTGGTTAATACCATTCTGTTCATGTGTATTTCAGCACTAACTTCACCTTAAGTGCTAAAACTAAAATGTGGTTATGCGATCTAACTGAAGAAAGACTTAACATCTAAATATCAGCTTTCTGAAGCATCACCTGGGAGCTTCAGCTCCTGAGAATCCAGAAATAGAGGCACTTCAATTGGAAGTGGCAGAGATGAAAGAAAAATATGAAGCTGTGTTGGAAGAAAATAAAAAACTGAAAGCCAAGGTAAAAGTCTGCTTAGTGTTTCTTAGTAGTTCCGTGTTACATGGCAAGAAAAATACCTTTATACCTGGAATACAGCTAGCTTTCTTCCATTAGGGTACGGATAACTGTTGTTGCATTGTTACTGGTTTTGAAGCTTGAGCTTATCTTTAATGTAACTGAGGTCAAGTAAACACCTTCAAATGTTTATTTGCAAATAACTTTACAAGACCGTATTTTAGTGCATAGTTGCCTAGGTCATATGCTTCAGAAAGCATGAAGAAAGCTAGAATGGTTGGTTACTGTTGCCATGAGAATGACTTTCATTTAATCGTATTTCAGTGAAATCAAAGCTTATAAGGCACTGATCATTATCAGCTGTTATTTGAGATGGAAAGTACTTAATAAGACCTAGAGCAATAAATGTGGAAAAAGTAAGGGTAAGACCTGTGTGCTTTCTTGAAAGTGCATTTAAAAAGCCCCTTTGTTACAGCTGCATTATTATACAATGTGACAAATGGATGTTTTGAGGGAAGGGTTACTGTGTTGCCTGCCTGGAAAATGGACTTGCATAAATGTCAGCGATGGATTAAAATGCAGGGAGTCAATGGACACTTCCATGTTTCCCCACATTTCTTAATGTAGAAAGTATCTCTGACATGTTGCAGCTAATTGAATTCCTCTCTTTAAATCCACAGCTGGCTCAGTATGAACCACCTCAAGATGAGAAGCATGGTGAATGACAGTAGTTTCTCCTTTAATGCCTTGAATTAATAAAGGGCTTCCTGAGAACTGCAGTCCTATTTTTTCTGTGTGTGTATGAACTCTGCAGGTGTCTACTTTGTTACCTCTTCATCTTAAAGAAAAGAAAAAAGCTGAGTATCAGGAGTGTGCAGCTATTTTTGTGTAGCTGTGGCAGCAACTGATGAGTTCAGGAACACTTGCCAACTTTCTTGCCTTCTGTCCTTAAGAAAAAGTGATTAATTAACCAGTAGATAACTGTGTAACTTTGTATGAGTTCCCCATAGTGCGAGTGGCCCTGTTAAACTGCTGATCACTCTCTTGGTGTTCTTTTAACTGGAGAGGGTGTCATGACACAGATGGACCGAGTGTAAGCTGAAGCAGGACCTCCAAGGTATACCGAGTATACACTTTGTTAGAACATAGCCTGGTGTTACATTGCAGCATTTAGGAACAGGGAGAGGGTAATGCTGTAGAATACGCATCAAACAGGAGCAGGTGCTGCCAGTGACGTGACAGGAGGAGAAGCTGTTTGGGCCCAAAGCAGCAGCAGCTGAGGGGTTTGGTCGAGGTCGTCGCAGGCTGTGAGAGCAGTAACGGGCCCACTTGCTCTGACAGCGGCCCGGTCCGGAGCCTTCCGTTAGGCTGCAATTTTTGTTCCAACTCGGCCGCGTTGCGTGGCCGTGCAGGTGCGTGGCCGTGCAGGTGCGTGGCCGTGCAGGTGCGTGGCCGTGCAGGTGCGTGGCCGTGCAGGTGCGTGGCCGTGCAGGTGCGTGGCCGTGCAGGTGCGTGGCCGTGCAGGTGCGTGGCCGTGCAGGTGCGTGGCCGTGCAGGTGCGGCCCCGCGCTCCGTGGTGCCCGCGCTCTCAGAGCGGAGCCGCCCCGGGACCGGGACCCCTTCCCCCCCTTCCCCTCACGTGCGGCGCCGTCAGCTGACCCGGCC